TACGATGGTATTGGCGCTTTTTATAAGTTTTGAAATATAACATAATTGTAACCACAATATAACAAAAGAAAAACTTTCCTTAATGAATCTCAATATTTCACTGAGAGAAGAAAATAATTATAATAACAATGAAGAAAAACTTGCACGACAGTATACTAAGCGTCTAGTGATACAATTCAATGACGCAAATCGTAAACCGCTGATAACCCGGATATAACCACGACAAATTCACATTGCAGACCTGCCCACTTTTCTCTAAAATTTCACACATAATCTAACTGCACTGCACCACTTTTAATACTTCACTCACCTCTAATTCTTTGGTCTCCGCCATCTTCTTAGACGATTTTTTTTGCGAAGCCGTTTTGCCTATATTATTTCCAACTTTCGATAGAAAAATTCTCCTACCCTTTTCTTATACGAGTTGTTTGTATCGCAACTTGTCTCTATATTTTTCCTGCTCTTAAATACAACTATTGAATAATACTGTTTTCTGGCGCGAAATCGATTTTTATGTTGCAATTTTGAGAACGTTTTAAAAAATCTAATTTTTCAAAGAAGGTTTAATTTTTGTAAAAATTTTTTGTTCAGCCGCGTGAGACGAAGCAATTATCGATATTTGACACTTCTTTCGTTCGAAATGTGAAAAAGGATTTTTCAAAATGGCTGCTTCCACTGGAATTGCAGCTCAACTTGGATTTGTGTAATTTAATAAATTTGAAACATAGAAATAATGTTCTCGTCGATCAATGTTGCAAGGAAAAGTCAGTGAACAACGTGCCAAAGCTTCACAAAAATTCTAAGCTCAAATTGTTTTTATTTCTTTAAATTTTTACTAAGTTAACACGGTACGAAAATCTTTAAATATATTTACTGGTTAAATTTCATCTATTACATTATAAATATCCAACCAAACCTTTTTCATTTCTCTGTAACTAATGAATAATATATTGCAAAATGTTATAAGAACATAAAGTACCTTATTATAGAAACATACAGTTTTGGAAATTCAAAGCAATTTTTCACTATTTTGATAAATTTTTTACTCTTCCTGAAATGCACATTACAACGACGAAACACAAATGGAAACACGAATGCACATTGCAGTTAAAACCTGCAAAATTTTCTGGAGAATTTATCTTTATAGTACTTCATCTTTATTATATTTGTGCTATATTTTTACTAGGTGATCTACAATTTGAATGGATTATATCTAGGGAAATAATGCGTTTTACTTTAGATATTATCTATATATGATAAATAATTCCTCTATTTTATCTGAACTGCTATTGGCTGTTCGCTCATGAAAATGAACCATTACATGGATATGTGCTATCCTCTGGCGGAAAAACATAGTTACATCACAAAATGATCGTGCGTGCATCTATCTTAAAATATTTGTATTCACCAATATTTAGAGTGCAATTATAAATATATACATATGAGGATATCTATGACAATTCAAAAACATGGCTACCATGCGAAAAATAAATTAGTCGCATTACAGTTTGTAAACAAGTTTCTATTTAGTTTTTATGATAGTTTTGTTTTGTGCCATCAGCAAAACTCATCAACCGTAAAAAAATATATTTCTTCGATGAAATTTGTAAAAAGCTGGCGTGGATTTTCCAAGTGAAACATTCGTGTTTTTAATAGTTGCAACTACATTTTAATGTATATTCAATGATATAACGGATTTTTGAAGAATAAAAATATAATTGTACGGTAATATTCTACGTGGTTGTAAGATAACATACGTTTGAAACGAAAACTAAATAATGGTAACCTTACTTTACAATTTTTCGAAAATTATAATAAATAGAATAATAAACATAATTTAATAAGTGTACTTTCGATTCATTTATGTAAGAACAAAATTAATAATTAGTTAGTCGATTATAATCGATCGATATATAAGTCAAAAATAGCAAACTGTTTGTATATTTTCGCTGAACCACTTAACCTATTTTTTAGGTATACGTCTACAGTTAAACATATCGACAAATAAGCTATACATAAAGGATTTATAAAAATTTGTGCTAAAACCTATTCGTAGCAAGAAAAAAATTATACTTTGTTACTATCATCAGTAAAATTGAAAATGGACTTTTAACAAAATCTGTTTTTTTAGAAAGGTAATAAATTAATCTTGCTATATTGCTTTGTACTATTTATCTTCTGTAATGTATTTAATTGTTACTTCCTTAAAAATTATTTAATTTTATTGTTTGTAATATTAATTGCATATTTATTGTTACAGATTATACTATGTTAAAATATTAAATAAGAGATTTATCTCATAAAGATTCTATGTGTAATACTGTACTACATTATTTATAAATTGACCTCAATGGATTCCATTGATTTTGATGCAATTATAAGACATCCAAGAACTATAATTCATATAGATGTTGACTGTTTTTATGCTCAAGTGGAGATGCTAAGGCATCCAGAGCTAGAAGGCAAACCTTTGGGAGTACAACAAAAAAATATAGTAGTAACAAGCAATTATTTGGCACGTGAATATGGAATTAAAAAATGTATGTCAGTACATGAAGCTTTACAGTTATGTCCAGGGCTGGCCCTGGTGAATGGTGAAGATTTAACAAATTATCGTCACTTTTCTACTAAAATAGTGGAGATACTACATCAGTTTACTCCATTAGTTGAAAGATTGGGTTTAGATGATAATTTTATGGATGTAACATCTATCGTACAAAAATATATGAATTCTGGAAATGATTCTGAATTAAATATAAGTGTTTCCATGGAAGATGAAAGGCCAGTTGGTGAAGTATTTGGCCCATCTGAAGAAGAATGTCCTTGTGGTTGCCATGCTTGTTTGATTATCGCTTCCAAAATTGCAGCAGAAATAAGGGAACGAATTTATAAAGAATTACATGTTACATGCAGTGCTGGAATAGCACATAATAAACTCCTAGCAAAATTAGCAGGATCATCGCATAAACCAAACAAACAAACATTACTATTTCCGTGCAGTGCACCTTTGTTGTTGTCTAGCATTGGGTCTGTATCAAAAATACCGGGTGTTGGGCAAAAAACTACACAATTGTTGGTGTCCAATAATATAAAGACAGTGGATGATTTGCGTAAAACACCTTTAGAAACATTGGAAGGAAAAATTGGTGTTGATTTAGCGAGAAAATTGAAAGATAATGCCGAAGGCATCGACGACACTGTTGTCAAACCAACAGGAAAAAAACAGTCCATAGGCTTAGAAGATGGCTTCAAGAGCGTTTCTTTAGTAGCTGAAGTAGAATCACGCTTAGGAGCACTTCTAAGAAGATTAACAGAGTTAGCCATGGAAGATGGAAGAATTCCTGTTGCTATGAGATTAACGGTCAGAAAGCATGATTTTAATAAACCAACTTCGGGTAAAAGAGAAACTCGGCAATGCGCTTTACCAAAACATTTATTGCCTTCCTCAAAGTCTGGCGTTTACGATCATGCTAAAATGCTGGCGTTAGCAATGAAACTGTTTCATCGTACTGTCGACGTTTCTAAACCATTCCATTTAACTCTTTTAGGAGTTGCTTTCACGAAATTCGAAGAGAGATCCTCCGGCAAGAATAGTATTACGTCGTTTTTGCGAAAACAAGTCGCTGTTCAATCTGTTTTAGACATAAGCTCAGAAGAAGGCGTTCCTGATGTCAATTTAGGTTCGCCAATGAGCGTAAATCAAGACAGTAACGATGGTTCTGCGATGAGTACCACATCCTCTCCAATTTCGAAATCGATAGGTGCTAACAATCAGAGTGGTGATGACGATGTACTGAATGAAATAGAACCATTACCCAAGAAGACCAGATTGGAAGTATGGTTGAGTGGACGCAGAGAATCTCCAAGCAACGAAATGGCTGATCTTAGACTCAGTCCTTCGTCACCGATGCAACTATCCCCAAAAATCGACGCGGCGGTTCTTAAGTCTTTACCTATCGACATACAAAGAGAAGTCACCCGTTCTTGGCCAACGACTAGTAAACCAAAACCCAATAATATACTTAAATACTTTATAGCCAATAAGTGACGGAGTTCTGTGGCCTAGAATATAATACAGCCATCTTTCTGTACACACGTTTACATTTACAACATTGGATGGCAGCACCATGTGATACTACGAACTTAAGTTACTGAATGTTTTAAATTAATTTGCGATTTTCGGTATTAAACTCCTGTATACACATATTTTCTAGAGCATTTACATTAAACGTATGTTACTACAAAGTAACTGTATGGTATAATTTTGATCACTTTATTGAACAACACAAAAAAAAAAAAAGAAAAAAACAAAGTCTATTCTGCATAAATGTATAAAACATGTTCTTATTTATTTATCTTTGATCAATCCAAGCACAATTGATTAAAGTTCAAATTGCTTAGGAAAGACAGATCTTTCAGTTGTTTTGCATTTAAAAGATATTTCGTAATAATCGAAGAGGCAAATATACATGCATACAAATTGACCATCGATGAAAAGTATTTTTATTTAAGTAGAATTCTTCATTATAAATCGAAGGTTGGAACAAAAAAATTACAAATAAGTTTCGTTTTCATCTTGTACAACATTGTACATGTTGCATATATTGATCTTCAGTGCTTCGTTGAGCATTTCTTAAGTAACGTTTACCGTTTGGGTGGATAAACATTATAATTAAGTAAGTTTAGTATTTTCATGTTAAAAATATCTTTTATTTAATTCATTTTCTTCTCTCTACGATAAGTATTTAACAGCAGAAAAGTATTTTTCATTTACATTTAAATAATAAGTGGATATTCTATTATTACGCGTAAAAGTCACGCACTGTTCTTTAAAGGGAATTCGTCTCATTAAATGGGGTGCTGGCATTTGATTTTGTACGTACTGTCTAGCGGTTAAATTATAATTATATGGTTTATAGTTTAAACAGACAAAACTAAAAAAAAAAAAAAAAAAAAAAAAAAAAAAAATTAACAAAAAGAAAACAAAAAAACCTTTATATTTTTAGTATTGTCGATGTTAATGCATATGTAACGGGTGTCGCAGAAGACATACCGTACAAAAATACTCAATCGCCCCCCTACCATACTACCGGTTATGGAGCACCATTCGATTCATAAGGCATAGTTCATAATATATTATACAGTTATATCCAGAATATTAGACAATCATAAAGTTTTATCGATTCGGTATGGTACAAGGTGAATAATTATAATATTTACTTTTAAGCGAACACAGATAAACCATAAAAAAGAAAAAAAATAAGCCAACGATCCACGCTGTTTCGGATATTATTATATTACACACCTTTACTTTCACACACAATTTACCGAAAACAAAAAAAAAAGAAGGAAAAACATGCGTGCATTAGAGCGTGGCCGGACGGCAAGTGATACTGAAACAGTAGCTTTTGTAAACGATCATACTTTATATAAGGGTATGGACAATTTA